CTATAAGAAATACATGTCTTTTTGTGTGTAAATCGTATTCGCGATTAATTTATACTTTCACTACATATTTAGACTAAACAAATAAATGAACACTTAAATAGTGTTGAAAATGTTTGGCCTATTATTTCCATCACTGCTGACAATCCAATCCACATATTCTCGGAACTAAGTTTGTAAAACACATTGTAATTACTTGTCGTGAATTGCGGACAAGATCTCATTTATTACCTTCTAATCCATGCATTCTTATCGTCCACTTTGGCCGCAATGTCTTGTTTCACATCAATTGGTTTACTTTGAATATCATTGACCAGAGAATTGGTTGCATTGATATGAGTGAACATATAGGCGGCCGCCTCTGACTTGATTGGTGTCACTCTATGGAAGCGTTTGACTGGAAGTGTCATGTGATCGCCGGCACTCATAATGCGAGTGTAGTGGTCGTCGTCCACCTCTATCTTCAGCCAACCCTTGAGTACAGTGAGTGATGTGTTGCCGAACTCAGAGCCGATGTAATTGTTTAGCGTTAAGCCTATAATTGAAGTTCAATTGTAAGCAATAGTTTAAAACAATTGCCAAAGACCTGGAAAATCGGCGATAAATATGACTGAATTGTAATCATTTTGTTTGTATAGATTGTGTTCATATTGTTTAAGTCTGTGCCGCCAATCGGTCAGATGGGAGAGTATGGGAAGCACCCAATCGGGCCGTTTGAATGGTGACCACTCGGCGCGAACTAAATCGACGCGAGGGTCGTATACTCTCTGCGCGAATCGTCCGTTCAATGATATCCACGAATCGATATGAATGGACGGATCAGTTATGTTAAACTCTTTGATGAGACGCTTGTGAGCACACAGAGCGTACTGTTTAACCATATCTGAGTGATGGCTCCATCGCATACTCTTAGTCCATGTCTGTCACCATTTAGACAATCATTGATTATTATATATTCACTCATCAAACCCTTTAACTATTAAATTAGCATAAAATTAATACAAAATTGTATTATAAGGAAAATTCAACATTTAATTATAGGAAATAAAAATCAAATAAAGTTATTATTCATGAAATGCATTATAAGCTTAAATTTAATTAACTTTCGAAAAAGGTTTCCTTATAAATAGTTTAACTAATAGTTTTAATTAGTTAATTGTCTGGAGATTATTGTTGAATGTATGAATGGATACCAAATAATTAATCAAAGGTTAAAATAGTGTTCAAACCTCGGGATTGAGATAAAACTTTCGCATCGATTTGTCGACAACAGTGACTGTGGTGTGAATGTGTCTCCAATTATGAACCATCATATCCCAGGAATAGCCATATAAGCCATTAGTCCATGTGTTGTATCCTTTGGTAATCCAATGGGAATGCGGTAGAAATAATTGAGTCGAGAGATATCCCATAATTAATATCCACGTTNAAATAATTAATCAAAAGTTAAAATAGTGTTCAAACCTCGGGATTGAGATAAAACTTTCGCATCGATTTGTCGACAACAGTGACTGTGGTGTGAATGTGTCTCCAATTATGAACCATCATATCCCAGGAATAGCCATATAAGCCATTAGTCCATGTGTTGTATCCTTTGGTAATCCAATGGGAATGCGGTAGAAATAATTGAGTCGAGAGATATCCCATAATTAATATCCACGTTATCTTCTCTTTCTTCGTCAATGCTTTTTGTTTTGCAAAATATTTGCTTTTCTCATGAGTTGTCACTACTTTTCTTTGGCTATCCTTTTGAACAGACTTTAAAATTTTTGTTTTAAACATAAGAATGAGTTGTTTGGGCCAATCCGGGGCACTAAACACTGGCATTATTGCGATCATCACATATGGGAACATTCCTATGGGTTATAATTAAATTAAGTTATCAAACCATTCATTGATTTTAAGCGAAACTACAAAAACCTATAGAAAAGAGTCGAGAATTCATTGAATTAAAGAGAAGGCAGAAAAAGTAAGCAAAGAATCGACTTTTATTCCACACCAAAAAGAATCCAATCGTTAAGTCAAATACAAATCCTCCCAAATGGACAACATATAAGTCAATCATCTCATTGGGCAATAAAATACTGGATAAACAGAAATAATTAAACACTTAAATCACACAAAATTTAATATCAAACCTGAAAGGACTGAAAACCCAATGGTCTGATAGATTGTTCATAGAATAGCCATTGAGCCAATCGGCGTCAATCTTCTTGAGTCCAGCCATAAAATAAACTAAAAATACTTGACTTCTTATAAGAAAGTACTGCCAAAACGGAATTTGTCTTTCATTTAAATTCTTATTCTCTAAAAAGTTATCTAAAGACCTGAAACGGATCCACAATTATTGAAAACATATGTAAATTACGGATAAAGTATTGTAAAGCCTATAAAAAGTGATTACCATATATAGTGTGAATCAGTTGTGGACAGCAATGTCACCAAAAGGCCAAAAAGATAAGAGTGATTATTCCATCGGCTTTTGTCCAACAAAAACAAATACCAGTAACACATGAGGTATACAATGCAACTAATTCTGTACTTAAGACCTAATATTATGCCTACATTTCCTGTGAGTAAAACATAATTGATTATCATATAGAAAGTTGTTTGTCATTTGGATAAAGAGTTTGTGTATCAAACCGATGAACATTAGGGCATATATGGCACACATCCATCTGAACGGAAGCACTTCCAGAGCATCGAATAGTGGGAATCGACACTCATTTGGATCACTCCATATCGTCTCAGCCCTCGAAAGCCCTCTTTCATACACGATATCGATTAGCAATAAAACGCCTGAAAAATATTTTTATTCTTCATTTGACAGAAGTTTGCAATAAATTATTATTTACACAAACATTACTATCGATTCACTTATTATTAGAAAGTTATTTATAAAATACGTTTATAATTAATAGCATTTCTTTGCTGTGAACAATAGCTTTGTAAATATTATACAATTTTATTTCACAATATTGACCATAATTAATAACTATTAATAACAATAATTAACCCAGATTAGAATGACCTAGATGATGGTTTCTACTTTGTAACTCATTAGTTTCAAGAAAATACAGAATATATTCATTAGTTTTCATATTTCAATAATAGTTGTATAAAACAATTCACAGAATCATTAGTAGGAATCGCTAATTAACACTCGACTACTGTTTTGCTATTCTGTACCTTTATATCTGTTAATTAATTATAAGCCATGTTTTTTGCATCAAAAATACATTAGTTGTGAACATTACAGTATTTTATACAACAAAATCAAATCAATGCTATAAATAATGTGATAACCGATTCTACTGTTGATTTAAAACTTTTTCATAACTAAAACTAATAAAAAAAGCAATTATTGGATGTTTTATTAAGATTTAGTGGAGATTAACAAATGGACGAAAAAGTAGTTTATAAAGTATATTGTATAACACAAGTAATATTCAAACAAATAGATTATTAGTTTATTTGAAAGATTTTGATGGGGTTTACACTTCACTACAGAATTGACAAAAAATATAACGCAAACAAAAAAATAAATCTTTAATACAGTGAACTTTCTGTAAAGTATAGTAACGCTTAATAAAATGTTTTTTCATATAGTGTACAAAAATTTGTGCATGTACATATAATAAACTAATACTAAACACTTTCTAAATAAATTTAGTAATATTCTATACAGTTTTATAAAACTTTTTTAACTGCTCGAGCACTGTAGGGAAAGTTCACTGTACTGTACAATACATTATAAAACTTATAGACAATAACAAAAAGTTAACAATTAAACTCATAACTCATACCAATGACAATACGGGTGACGGCCAGACCGGAAGGGTCGCAAAGATTGAAAAGTGGGGTTAATTTTTGACCAAAATTAAAGCCCATCTTTCGGAATGTTAAACAAAGTGTGATATATAGGGATGTGATTGAAAAGTGTGTGAAAAATAGTAAGTTGTGTGTAGAGTAGTAGTGAATGGTATCGATCGGACGCTAAACAAAACACGTGAATGAAGTGAGATGTGAATGAGAGGAGAAGCGGAGGCAGAGAAAGAGAAAACTTGACGGAAATCAATAT